GCCTGAAATTGGATCAGATCTACTTTAGAGGAGCAAATTCTCCATCAAATTAGGAATATATATGTTAACACCACCTCAACCAGAAACAATTATCATTAAACTATTTGAACGTGTCCAAGTTGGTAAAGATAAAACGGAGGTCAGCAACCGGATAAAACGTGTGAAATGAATCCGTCCTCCAGAGAACATCAATCAGTCGGCCTGAGTTTCTCTCTCTCCTCTACGATGGAGAGAATTGGCAGGAAGTCACTAAGCTGTGGCACAATTTGTTCTCTTTCTGGATCTTCTCATAAAACAGCAGCTTTTCTTGCTGCGGGGCAGGAGGTGTGTGTGTGTGTGTGTGTGTGTGTGTGTCCATGGTAGGGCCCCCGCCTGGTCTAGTTTGTCGTTAGCACTAAAGTCAAAAATATTAAGAGGATTTACTGGATATTTTCACATTAGAGTCACTGTTTAATCTTTGTGGTCAGAGTAGGTGGGGGGTGACGTGGGAGGTCGGGGGTCAAAGTGAAATAACTTGAATTTAAAAAGACTTCCGTCCAGACCCCGAGATCACGTCCAAGATGTTTTCCTTCGGACTCGACGCCACATGTTAGAAACGTGTCGTTAATATCAGAGTACAGCGTAGCGGACAGCAGCACAGACAAAAAGGCAATTTGTTCAGAACTCGGCACAAAAGACGTTGGTTGTTGGGCAGAGAGGCCCCTACTTGAGGAGGACAGGCCGTGATGCATGTGTCTCCGCCTGCACTCCCTCCTGTGGCGCTGCAGCAGCTTCTCATTGTTTATCTCTGGCTGGCTTGTAGGAGGGGAACTAATTAAGGGCTCCTGCAGGTGGCCCATGGAGGCTTTTACAGGTCTGAGAGGACACGAGGAGGAGGAGGAACCTGGACACACCCAGCAGGGAGGAAAGGGGCCACTGCCTCGGGTCACAAGAGACAGACGTTACTGATCTGGTTCTGCTAAACAGAGAAAAGAAGCAGGACAGATCTTTTGAGTACGTGGCGAGGCAGAGACAGCATGTGCTTACGCCAAGAGAGGGAGGAAGGGTGTTTCAGAGGGCAGAGAGCGAGAGATAGGACACAATCATTGCAATCTGCTAAACAAGGCCTTCCTCTGTTTGGGGCCTAATAAGTGGACTTGGAAACAAATACCCATCTGTCTAGTGCGGGTTTAGGACCGGGAGCCCCCCTGGGGTTTGTGGTCATTTCATTTTACATTTGTCAGAAAGCTTCGCTGTATAAGGTGGGACCCAAAGACCAAGTCAGTCCACATAGAGCCAAGCAAACAAATAGTGACGGCAGTGTTTACAGTAAAAAGGGAAATAGGATGTTGACGGTTTCAGGAACAAGTGTATGTGCTGTTGTTTTGTATGTTATTGTTGCTTTTTCTATTTGGAGACCAACAAATCACCACAAGCTGCACTTCAAAATAACAAAAAACGATGTACTATTAAAGATGTATGTTCTGTGAGGGGGAAAGAGCATGCCACATGTGTGTTTGTGTAGGTGGGTGTGTGTGTACTTTGGGTTCAGACGGGCAAAAGACATGATTGCGTGCGGATGCTGTCCTGCACCATTTCCTCGAGACGTCACAGCCAGCTGTGTTCTCACCCAACACACACACACATTGTGGGAGTAGAGTGCTTCCGTAAAGCCCAAAAACAGTGGAACGTTCTAGACTGCGCCTTCGGGGAAAAAGAAAAGTGAGATGCAGAATAAAGGGCTGCTCGAGCAGCGAGCGACACGGAGTAAAGTGCCAGCTCGTTAGTTGTGTGGAGGCCCTGGATATACAACAAGAGAACCGGTGTGTGTGTGTGTGTGTGTGTGCTTGCAGATCTCCTCAGGCAGTACGGGGGGATCTGGTAGCTGTCTGCAGATATTCAGAGACGGACGCCAAATGGCAGCTCTGTCCTTGGTGGCGTGACACCAAGAGCAAAAAGAAAAGCTGCAGTGGAAATGTGCCCAGCGTGGCCCCAATATGAGCCGAGTTCCAGGCACAGCGATCTGCAGGGCAGCTGCTATCTGTCTGCTGCCGGGGCCAACGTTCGTTTTAATGATGATAACCCTGAAATCCCTTAAGGCGTGCTGCAGCAGTGCTAAAGAGCCGCGCCATCTTCCATTAGGACACGTTAAGCTCACACTTGAAGCATCACTTAAGGTCTCAGTGTCTCTTTGGCGGCATGGAGCCGCGACCCTTCACCTCGCATTCGTGCAATAGTTCCTCAAATCCTCTGCGTTTGTGGTCCCGTCGACACATCTCGTTAATACGTTAGCATGACAGCTGTCTAAAGACTCCTTTCTTACCCTATCAATCATATCATGGTTACAATGACGCCTGCAGCGGGATTTAATAAGCCCAACGATTAATGTAAGAAGGAAGAACCTTTATGTGCTGAAAAGGAAGTGTAACTGCTTAAGCTAAATAGACTATTTCAAGGCAGTTACAAAAATGCATCATCACAAAACTGAAAAAAATGTCTGTTCTTTCTGATGAAAAGTTCATTCTGTGGTGTCAGTAATAAATGTTCCTGATTCCTGATAAAGAGAACTGAACACACAGCGCCCCATTTATTCCAATGAAAGCTGCTCAGTGGGACGTGAAGCAAAAACAGTTTGACTTCAGAGAAAGAAATGACTTAAATCTACTTCTTTTAGTCCAAAGTCCAGCCTCGTCCCCGGCTCATCCACGTATACGGAGGAAGTAGAAGAAGTCTGGATGTGGTTATCGGTGCATTGGAGTAACAGCAACATTTAAATGATGGCTAAAGTGTTTCAGACGTAAAAAGTATTTTTGTGTCCCAATGGAATCAAGTGACGGACGTTTGGCCACAATATGAAATTGGTTTTAAAGCCAGCATTGCTTTGGCAGATGGCTTGATTTTCCCTGAGTCACACTCATTTCCTGAACTTAACGAAGTGTATTTGTTGCTTAATCTAACTGAAGACGTAATGAGTCTTTGTTTACTTTGAAGAGACACGTAAGGCATCGAAGTTTCATATTAATCTAAAAACATATCAAACAAATGACAACTTTATGGTTTAAAAATGTCTATTTCTACTAGTCACACTAGGGACATTGAACTTTTTAAACACACAAATCTAACTTTCCGTGAAGTACTTTCACAGCGTGGCCCTAAAATGTGAACTCGATTAAAGGATTTCAAAACCGCTTCCGAAGCTGGCTGGGACATTAATGGACAAGTCGACTCTTTAGTGCATCAGGGCTCAATTATCTCTGTTGACACAAGGACGGCCGCTGCAATTTCAGACACTAACAGTGTAATTATTTGTGATTACAACAGTTTGGCTGTGGTAAGTAGTTCCAAGCAGGCAGCGGACTTATTCTTAAGCAGCAATTTATAAAAAGGCTCTCCGTGGAAGAAAAACAGCCCATTAAAACAATATTTATATATATACACTTTTTTTTTTTTAAATCACATTTTCAAATTCTAAACGATTAATAGGAGCTTGGGCAGCGTGAGTCACGGTATGTTACATCACATTATCGACGGCCTCCCTCTGACCTGCCGATAGGATCAGGGTGGAGAGAAGAGAAGAAGAGAGAAGAAAGAACAAAGTACAGTGCCTGTTGGAATTCAAGGGCTTTGTGGAGAAAGAGTCCTGGACCAGCGCCATGAGCGACTGCAAGAGACCAGCAGCATTCTGCGTTGACATGCACATGATTGTGTGCGAGCGGAGAGCCTTTTATCTCCCTTGAATCATTTCAACTAAAACTGCAAATTCAGCAGGAACTGTTAAAGGTAACGACTCCTTCCTGCCATGCTCCTTTTTACGAAAGGCGCCTGAAGCTTTTTGTCTTCAAGAGGGCGCAAAGAGGAGAATGTAGGATGAAGAGGAGACGGAGGTGAGTGGAGCAGAGGAAGGCCAAAGGAGGAGAGCGCTGAACAATGTCCACACACACTTACATACGCAGAATAAGTAGCACAATTAACTTCCATAAATAGACCTTTCTACACTTCTAAGAGTAGTTTGTGCTGCTCTGTACAATATATCGTGTAGATACAGAGACAGCAAAAGGACTTGAACGACAACAACATGTGTTGAAACTAACTTTCCCTTGACTCCAAATAGAATAAAATATGGAGACTATAGATACATCAATAACATGCAAAGAAGTTCATGTAACATACATAAATAAACACTACATGTCAATGTGGCACGTCAAGCACACAAGCTGCTTCTTTCGATCTGCATGGAGCCGTTATCCATCAATAAGGAAAACACGCTAACATGCAGCCTTGTGTAGCAAACATTCATTCTAAAGGTCCATAATCTACTGAATGCTCAACCATGGTATTACCTGCTGAATAAGTCTGGAATCGTTATGCAATGATGCTACATAACTCGGCCCCAGTGGGAGAGGCGCTCAAGATGCTGGGATTAAGCCAAACAATAGCGTCGACATGTAGTCTATACGTAAACCCTCGTAGATAATGTCAACTTGTGAAAGCCCCATGTTGGCCGACTGGTATGATGATACTGGTGAAAAAGGCAGTAACCTGCTCTGGCATGGCACGTCAAAACAGCAAGCAAAGACAACTTGTTTGAATGGGTTAGCGTTAGCCGCATTCACGATTCACACAGCAAAACCACAGAAGCAAACTGTCCATCCCACGAGGGCATGTGGTGACAAGCCATCCGGTACCTTAACATGTCCTTCAACCTATTGAGAGGGATTTCTTTGACGTTTCGCTCAAGACTAAAAGGGATAATCCCCTTTAGAACGCTCTGTACCTGATATGGCCTTGGCCGCTCGAGAGTCTCTTTAACCCTCAAGAGAGTTCAACAAAACACGTTCATTTAGAGAGCAGCTAGAGGGGCTCTCCGGTCCGACAAAAGGCCTTTAGGTACAATCCACAAGTAGGGAAATCTGTATTATAGCTATCAAAGAAGGGAGGTCAGCGCAGGGTGATGGATCGCAGGGAGACGGGAGCTCCACAGGAGAGCATGGAGGGGGGGGGGGCATTTTCTGGCGACTTACTTAGCCTCCACCACTGGAAGGGGAATGTTCTCAGTCATGTAGTCCAGCTCATCGGTGATGCTGTTGGCTCGGGAGATGTTGACGGAGGTGCTGTCATCCTGAGTCCGCCTCACTGCGAACGACAGGCGTAATACATCATTAATCCAGTGCTCTCACACTGCCATTACGCTTCAGAAGTAAGCTGTGTAAATATATTCGTGACAGAAACGTAAAAGTAGAAATAGGGAAACAGAAAGATACCTGGGGAACCAGGGCAGCTCAGAGTGAAAGACGACCAAGAATGTTCAGGGCGGCCTGATGCGAAAAATAGTTTGCAGACAAGAGGAGAAAAAAGAAGAAGAAGAAATCAGTTTCCTTGTTGAACCGCTTGGTGTACAAATGCAAAACTGTTGGACGGAGGTTTTGAAAAGTATCCAAATTGAAGCAATTCTCGGGTGAATTAATCTCGTTGTAGATAGGAAAAAGTGTCATTACATATTTTCAACAGTTTGCACGAGGAAACAGAAATTGCTCCAACTCAACAGGGCGGCTGTTGCAAAAAATAACAGCAAAGAGCAACATGTGTAGCGAGGTCGTGACCTGCAGTCGGGCTGTCAGCGTCACAGTTTGACACGTCTCCCCAGCAAAACACCAGGCCTCCATTGTGATAAAGAACGGAGGGGGCAAATGTGTATGAATGACCAGTCCAATTCAAGTGGACTCCATTCAGCCCTCCTTTATATTCCATCATCGGGTTTGTTTGACATTGTCCAATCCGGAAGCAGAAAAGGTGATGAGGGGGAGAGAGAGAGAGAGAGAGAGAGAGAGAGAGAGGGAAGGGAGGAGGGTGAAGAAAGCAGAGAGCAAGAGCCACTTTTAGCCTCCACCTCAGCTCGCTGAAGGAGACGTGACCTGGCTTATCGGCTACACAAACAGGATACGGGTTTATTAACAATATGCCATTTTATCCGGCCCATCAGTGCGGAGAGAGAGAGAGGGCTCCCCATTGAGTGATCCTCGCAGACAGGGAGGTGGGGTTTTGTCCAGACAGACAAATGGAGCGATGGCCACTGGAGGACACTGACTAAATCAAACAATGACCAGTTTATTTCTGACTACTGGAGCTCCACAATGGCAGCTTCCCAACTCCACCTCCCTCTCTTTGGTGTCCTAGTCCTGTGCCTCTGTCTGTCCCGAGCCAGGCCGGCCCGTTCCTCACCCGTGGTGCTGGCAGGGCACCCGGTAAAGAAAGCCGGCCAGGTCAGCCCGGGGACCAGCGTCTGAGGCTCTCTGCTTGGCTCTGGTTTGGTCCGGTTGGGGACAACGGGCCCGGCAGCCAGCCAGTCTAATTAAAATACTGTCTGGGCCACATTAAATAGACCGGCTCGCTAATGATTAACACAGAGGACTTCATGAAAGGAGTGAAAAATGTGCTTAACCATTGACAAGGGCTACATTAGACAGTGCAGTGCTCATAAACACACTATACTCGGCCTTTACGCTTCAGTTTGTAGAAGGTATATAAACGAGTTTCAAATACGGTTTTCATGAAACAGCTCGTGCCTTAATGCACAAGATCATGAATGGAAACTTGAGACCAGAAGGTACTGAATCAAGTGTTTGACCTCATCTATGAAACAAAATGCCATAACCCACGATCCCTGGAAATCCCATTAAGTGCGCCTCAGTTGTCATGTGACTGACTCACCTGTTTGTGTAAACATCTCGGGGATACCTGCAGAGAAAGGGACGTTAATATGAGAATGCTACATGGCCGTTGCAACAATGACTATCTCCTCCCATCTTATTATTATGCTTCAGTTTGGTCTCGTTTCCACTTCCTTTGCACGCTTAATATGCCCATTGATACTCTGACCCAAAAGACGCCGCCGACAACACAGCGTTTTCTTGTCATGTCAGTAGGTGTGTTTGACCAGCAGAAAAAAAGCCAAACCCTCAACATACAATATTTAGGTTTAAAGATTCATCCAAAATGAAGTCAGTTTAATCAAGCCGTAGCCGAACAAGGCTCAGTTCATTCATGCGCCGCTTCCTGTAATGAGTTGTTGGAATAGAATTCGTGCATCTCAGACTGCATGATGAGTCCCCTTTATATAGACTTGATAATAGTTTGGGTACTGTGCATTAAAAGTTAGCATCAAACGTTACCTTCATCCGCGCCTCTTGGCTTTTTCAGTAAAAAAGAGGCATCTTTCTTCTCCTCGGAGTCATCGATGCGATCGAGGGTGATCTGGGGGATCGATACGGCCCTGTCCGAGGCTACGCCCATAGAGCCGCTACCTCTGGGCTTCAACCTCCTCTTGGTCCCCCTTTTCTGGCAGACAAGAGGACACAACCGGCCCGTTTAAAAAGAAGACGTGTGTGATGCTCACATACAGAAATGGACTTAAAAGAATAAAGTGAGGCAAGTGGTCCTGATGCAGGATGATGTCATGGTTGAAAGCAGAGCCTTTGAGCCTTTACCCCACGTATTACCTCTGATAGTTGGTATATAGTTGACAGCGTTCTACCTTTACCGAATACACAGATGACGTTCAACATTCAAACTTTTGTGTGGTCAGAGATCCGTCTGGACAACTTCTCTGTGCAGGTGCTGCAGAGTATTTCACTCCAACAGTTAAGTACGATTCTTCCTGCTTCCATTTGACATGGACATTAAGATCTCTAACCCTATAGCGGGATATTATTTCTTCAGGTCAGAAAAAGCAGTACTCTTGAATACATTGTGAAGGAAACTTATTTTCTGAACCATCAAAAAGTTTCTTTGAGATCATAGCTACGGGATGTGTGAGTCAGTCAGTTTCTGCAAACTAAACAGGACATAAATAGCGGCTGACTCGTGCCTTCAGTCCAATCTTTAGACCCTCTGACCCACAATAACGTCATGGCGGCCTTCATGGAAACTCAATTATTTGGATCAGACTCTTAGCGTTGAGAAGCGGTCAGTCGTTCAATCCAAATGCCCGATTCGAATGACTCATTAGCCGAGAGAGCGATTTGGGGGGCGGGAGTCGTAAGACCGAAACAGAAAAGGGAGAGAAAGAGGAACACATTTAGTTTATTTGTGAGGAAGAACAGAGAAGAGCCTGGAGAGGAATGTAGACAGAGAAAGAGCGAAACGAGCAGAAGCAGCCTTCATTCTCCCCAACGCTACACAAAGATTTTGTTGTTGTTGTTGTTCTGCTAGACAAAGCTTTACTGCCATGAGAAAAGGCAGCGGTGACATCATCTCAACGGTCTTTGTCCGGCGGAGACAAAGGCCTCGAGTCATCCTGGTGGAGTCGTCCGGCCTCGGGAGGGTTGGTTTTGTGCGTTTGTGACTCCTTCCGTGTGTGTGTGCGTGTGTGTGTGCGTGTGTGTGCACGCTTGTGGGAGCTTAACTTGCCCTTTCATGCTATGCGGCCTCGGCACAACGCGGCTAACGTTGTTGTGATAGCGGCACGGGGAGATATGCAAACGTGTGTGCTGGTACTTTTTGTTCTGGTTGGGATTTCACCTTTGTTGGACGGATCAAAGTAGAATGACACAATAAACAGTGCAGGAGAAAAAGATGAGAAAAATGTCCTCGGTTAAGTTCAAAGCAGCATGTCATAAGGTCGGTGCGTAAGGCCACGGCATCAAAGACGTACTTTATATTTAAGGACTGAAGAGTGGTTTCAAAGAGAGGGAAGTAAATCAATCAAAAGAAAAGTGCTCATGGCCATAATCACCGATATGTTGAGTATCCTGACGTGCGGGATGAAGGTGTCCGGTTCCACCGTGGGGACGCTCTCTGGAGTCAGAACATACATTTTCCACGTGGAAGAACCGCTGTCTGGTTTCTCTGCTGCATAGCACCTCCAAAGCGTCTGAGGAGGACAGAATGTGTCTTTGTCAATGCTCTCCCACCCCCCCGGTTAAATGTTTTAACCAGCCATACGGTAGTAAGCCAGTGATCAGGTAGCCAGCTACAAATCCAGCGCGTGTGAATTTATCTAACATGTACTGCTACTTTTTGTGTTCCTGTTGCTACCGGTTATTTGTTCCTGTACGTAAATGATATGGTTTTCCAGAATAGCTCTATATAAAGCGTGGTTGTGTCTCACTGTATTAAGGCTAATCGTAATGACATGTCTTGTGCAGTACTTCACTTTGAAACGCTGAACGGCATAAATGTACCTGGATGAGGCAAGCTGCCGCAGGGATCTGTCTGTTGAAGTGCTTCTGTCTTTGCTTCTGTTGGACTTTCAGAGCGAACCCCGAGCCCAGGATACCCTGATTGGGGACAGTTAGGTTGTTAGATATTCTGCCATTAAAGTCGGAACATTCAGAATGAGAATAAAAGCTCCAGAATCTCACATGAGTAAATTCAATAAATAAATAAAATGCAGAGAGCAATAGCTGAGAACTTAGTGTGATTTAGATGAAGTCATATTTACAGCAGGCAGAGCGAAGAAGGAGATGGCGAACACGCTGAAGCAGGAGGCGATGGCCTTGCCGATCCACGTTTGAGGGATTTTGTCTCCGTAGCCGATGGTGGTAACAGTCACCTAAAGACAGAGACAGTGGATGAAGGTCCTCTTACATCTTTTTAGATGATCATCAGCAGATTGTAGACAAAACAGACCAAGACATTTGCGGCTGATGTGCTATTAAGTTAAATCCCCATCTCGGGGGCCGGCTGAGGCGTGAAACTAGAAACTTTATCCTCCGTAACCATGAATATCCATTCATGGGAGGTACCAAGCTTTTATTTGTAGCAAACTGCTGACGTAATGAAAATGTCAGTGATTATAGACAATAAAGACTAAGTTCATCAGCCCCTCTGGCCTCGTTCCATAACTGTCAGCGACGCCGTGGCGTTTGAAGGTCTTACTGCTCAAAGGAAATAAGATTCCCAGCCACTAATCCTCGCGGAGTGTCGGAATTTGCCGGGAAGGGGGACACACACGCACACACACACACACACACACACACACACACACACACACACAAATACCTCTTACATTTGCATGTACACCCACTCCGAAAGTCGAGCCAATTGTGACACATTCAGAACTCACTTGGCTTACTGTGGGTGTCCGTGGAGTATCGCCGCAGTTGTGCGCACACACAAAGCGGCCGATGTAAGGTGAGATACTTAAAAGGGCTTTGGGAGTAAAAAAAGAGGGCGCAGGGGCGGGAAGGCTGCCTTGGTGTATGTTGGAGTTGGGTGGAGTGTCGGGGGGGGGGACTTAATCCCTCGTCCACAAATCCGATGACTAAACAATGTCCTCCTGACCATCGGAGCGGAATGGTCCACTCAAAGACACCCCTCTTATTCAGAATGTAGGGTGAGTGGCGAGAACCTTCTCGTGTCAACACAAAGGTTGTAGACCTTGTCTTTGAATATGTGCAAGTGTGTACATGTCTATATGAATGCTGATCTAAATGTATACATTTTACTTTAACATCGCAACTATACAAAACGGAGAGTTCAGCAGCTCTGGTTTTCCTCAAGTTCTCCTTCGCGCTTTGTCCTCGTTGAAGCGAGACAGGTTGTTAAATCACACGGCCGTTACCCAACCATCCGCAATTGGCAAAAGGAGGAGAGGCTGTGAAGGTAGGGGAGGGAGAGAGCACGGGATATGAATCATGGCATTGGCGTGTCCTCCAGCTGTGCCCTGCACCTGCACATCCCAAAGTGGAAATCATGCCAAGGGAAGGAACACGGACTGGGGGAGTTTAGAATTCTCCAATCACCGTAATCTCATGTGAATAAGCGTGCACGCACACACACACACACACACACTCACTCACAAAGCTGACCAGACCTTTTGTAACGGCATCATTACTCTCTAGATTACAGTCTCAGGAAAACAATACAAAGTGCAGATCCCTGAACGCATTTCTTTTCTAGACGTTGTGAACAGAGCAACACAAACAACAGCTTTTCCAACTTCCCATAGAGCAGCGAGGAGCTCGGTGAACCCTCGAACCCTCGTTACATAAAAAGGTAGTAATCCCACAATTAAAGTTTTAATTAAGGGAACTGACACTTTGTATTGGTGCTCTAAAAGTTCTTTGAGCCAAAGAGCCCAGAGGTGAATGCTTTATTACCGTCTCTTTGTGGCTCGCTGATCCCCAGCACAAGGCTGCCATAGGTTTCTCATTACTCTGCACGTTCAATTCAAATGTTTAATTAACTACTGTGGAAACCCGAGCCCTCCGTACAGAGGGAAATAGGCAACGCCAACTCCACGCACAAAAAACATCAACACACCTGCGTATGTGTAGTGTCACTGCGTTACGTGCATGCTACACAAAGGACCCAATGAGGAAAATAAAAACACAAGGACATTAATACTTAGACCAGCCAGGGTGGTCAGCGATCTCAATCATCTTTCCATTTAAGACACCACTTGAGGTTCCATTGTGCAGATTTTTTTGTTGCAGTTTTCTAGAGAAAATAATCTTTTATTTCACGCAAGGTGGTCTTTAAAGTGTGGAGGCTGTGTTGAAAAATTCTAGCAGCGTTTGAGGATCCAAACAATACACATGCATTGCAAAGGACGGGATTCAATAATGCAATCGTACAACTATGCAGAGAGTACAAAAACAGCCGTGAAAGGCTTTCTCTTGTATACGATGTAATTCTATTTTCGCCTCACCACGCCCCACCACAGGGCATCGGCGTAGCTGGAGAAGCCCGTCTTGCCCTCTTCATCCACAGCGTCCTTCTCCGCCAAGTAGACAAAGTAGGAGGAAAATATCAGGCCCAGGAATCCGATGTACAGGGTGGTGATCAGCTCCTGAAACAAACACAAGAAGTTGGTTGTATGAAAGAAGGCTCTACTTAAGAGATCCAGGCTGGGGACACTGCTTAGACAAATCCTTTAACCCCCTTTATTCACACGGCTAAAGGCAAGTATTTCCATATTTCTTCCAAACAGAGCACAATACTTGAGCAAGTAGTCATCTGACCACAAATCAAGTTCTTAGTCAATGTGTCAGGGATGCGGGGAAGGCAGGACTCAAACGCACACTTTTTAGAAAACAAAAGACTTTAATAGTCAAAAGGCAGAAACAAAAGGCCAAGGGGCAAAAACGTGCACAGGAACCACGGCAAAGAGGCAGGCAGAAACTAGGGACATCCAGGACATTCGACAATGACGCCACAAGTGACAAGAGACACACACGCTTAAATACACTAGGGAGGTGCAGGTGATTGGACACAGGTGGAAACAATCAGACAATCACAGGGGATGGCAGGACAAGGCAGGAAGTGAAGTTACCCAGAGAGACAAGAAGCAGAAACTACAAAATAAGACAAGAAAATAAAACCACACCGTGACACAATAAATCAAGCTCATCGTTGGTTTATCTGAAGGCTATTTTCTTGAACTTTGCATGACATCCTCATTGATCCTCGTTAATCAGTCATATTCTTCTTATGCATCAAAGAGACCTTGCACGTCAGATTTGCCGAGATAAACATTAACAGTGATCAGAAGGTGGAGGTGTGTCTGAGCAGTCGTCCTCTAGAAGAAACTAAGGCGACGCAACAGGAGTAATGACATATTTTGGTCCTCTTCTGATCTATTTGATGAAAAAAAAGCAGCTTTAGTATTAGCCTGGACACATTCAACCTACTTGTCGATGAATAAAGACAACAGATCCCAGGAGCCTCCATGTTCCTCCCTGTCGATCCACATGTAGCATGCGCAGGATTTGGAGGAAGCGGATGCCCCTGCAACACATCATCTCATCATCTTCTTATCCATCTTACAGCTACGTGTAGAAACATAAAATGAAATACAGAGCAAAAGAGTCCCTCTACCTGATGGCAGACGTGGCAAACACTTGGCCATTAGAACCTACGCCAAGCACAATGATCGAGGCAATGACCACGATCAGATCTGTGAGCAAAATGAAGACAGAAAAATAATCAGCTTCAGCGACACATTGTACGAGAGTAAAGCCACACATCTCTTGAAATAGTTGTTGATCTACATGAAAATGACATGACATCCGTTGTGTTAAATGGGAGCAAAGGGAAATTCCAGGTGCACCTATGATTGATATGGGCTTCCTGATAAAGCAGAGGCGTCCCTTGATGCCTGCATATTTGCTGCGGCAGCCTGCCGACCACAGCCGGACCACATACTCCGTGCCAAAGAACAGCACCAGCACAATTTCCTGTGGAGCACAATGCAAACACAGAGCAAAGGTTACATGAATCCATTGGTGCAGCAACAATGATTGTCAAGCACATGCAGCACGAGTGGATGTGGAAGTAGATAAGGGCATTGATAAGAGTGCGTTGTGCATTAAGACTAATCTTAAAGCAAACCATTATAATCAACCTCCGGGATCTAAATATGATATGAACGGGTAACGACAGGTGTGTCAGACAGAGACGCTGCCGGTGGTCTGGTAATACTGGGACCACCGGACCATCAGGGAGGTGGATAAGACTGCTGATGACAGCTCACATTGGGAGAGGGTCAATGGAGGAGTGATTGGAGCCACAGGATGAAATGCTTTCAGCCTGCTGCCTCACAGATAAGAAGGCAAAACAATCTGATCCATTACTTGGGCGATAAGATCTTGTTACAATTGGAAATCTTTCTGCAACACTGCAGAGTAATATGGTTATTTGCATCCCTGCTATGATTTTGAATTATAATGATAGCCATCCACAGATCGGTTGAGGTTGGTCTTTTCAAATGGCTGTCTAATATGTACCGTGGTGCATTTATTTTTCTATTATGTGCAAACATGTGAGCCTCTGTGACTGTGATGGTTTTCCCGGACACCGTGCATGCATCCATTTAGTCACCATACTGTTAAAAGCTGAGTGTGGGTGGTCATCACCCTGATTGCTTGAACTGGTTGCTCCCTGAACATCCCTTGCATGAAACTTAATAAGCCCTGCAGCACAGAGCCCCTTCAACAATGACCTGTCAATCACGTCAGAAACTATTTGGGTTGGCAAAAGTGTCAGCAGAACGAGAACACGTACTAATGTGTAACAGTGCACTGAAAAACAACCTGTTTTCAATACCAATCAAAAGCCTCCATCAACGTTAGCGAGGTGATGGAGGAACCAGACCGACAGGCTCCCTCTGCTGCTCTGTGAACTTTACAGTTTGCCCATTTTCATTGGTTAATTATTTTTACAGGCCATAGCTTGAGTCGTCTGGCCTGGGATTCCTATTTCCTATTCCTATGGTGTTGCCTTACTTGGGAGATACCCTTGAGTATGTCAGGATTAATGAAGAAATGAATAAGTATTCACTAAAACTACCTGACAGTAAGAGAAAAGCACAACATGGCCACAGAATCCCGTTTCATCGAGCTCAGCCATCGTGACATATGGGTGAGTGATATGGGAAAGTCAAAAGAACGCATGAATTTGGGGAATTTGATGGGATTAGTCAAAATAATTCCATAAATTGGGTCATCCAGATGTTGGGGAAATTTTGTGTGTGTATCAGAAACTGATAGCGGCTACGGGCTTACTGGAAACAGCTGCCGATACGCACTGCGATAATCCCGTCAAGGCAGACTAGGATGAAGCTCATTCAGAGAGCTGCTTGGTAATCACAATATCAGATGAAAATATGATTAGATTGAGTGTTTCCCACTTCAAGTGAGGTACACAAATACAGGCACACAGTCACTTAGTACGTCTAGATTCACCTTTACAAAGCTTTTGCAAATTACGGAAAATCAAGCAAAGTAACACAATGTTGGAATTGAGATGATAATGTCAATCACGTTGAAGTAGTAGTTGTTTTCTCACAGGTGAGCTATTTAATATCTTTCATTTCAAGGTTTTCAATTTAAAATTCACAACGTATCTATCGACTCCAAGAGCTCTTAGCATGGGGACAGTGGAGGGAGCAGCTAGCGGCTATAAGCTAATGCTGCTAAAAGCACTAACAGTGAAACGGAACTAGAGCCAACAAGGACGACAGTGTCAACTTGAGGGGGGGGGCACGACTCCACTGCGTCCACTCATCACAGGGTTTGCTGCTTTTAAAAAGTGGTTTCATTACTTTTATATTCCAATATATTACATGGCAAAAGTACATTCTGGATTGTTGGGACAACTGTAATTAATATATATGCACTGTGACTCCTTGCAGTCACTGAGTACATACAGGAGTTTTGGGAAACCACAAAGCGATTTCAGTGAGCAGCAGACAGGAGAAACTGAAATGAAACACTACCCTTGTAAAGCAGATAGGTGAAATTTCTTTGACATTTTGTTGATACCAACTAATCCAATCCGGCTTCCTTGTTACTGCTTCTTCTCGTCACATTCTCCACCCTTATTGAGTGTGTTCAGCTCGCTGCATTACTGTGCATCTACACACACACACACCCCAGGCTCAAAAACAGTTGTGTAATAAACCTACTATATTAAAATATAGAAATAATGAAAAAGAGCTTGGCAGAAGAGACGATGTAGAAGAAATCAATGTGATATGCTGGCGTGTACTTTATGAATGCTTCTGTGCTTTATGTTTAGTTTGGCAGCTGCATACCCTAAAAGGACTTACCAGGGTTGGTTTTTTGCAGCGCGCGGAGCTCTCGCCCCAACGGACGCAGGCACACAATTGCGGACACACACACACGTGCGCGTAGACAAGAGAGCACGCGCTAACCAGCGGACACATCAACCGCCCTCCATTCACAGTTTGAAGCTAAAAAGTTGTAAGCCGTGGTTTGAAGCAAAGTGTTTTTTATGTATTTCTATTTAAACAATACTATAAACAGTTGATATATATATATATATATATATATATATACATATATATATATATATATATATATATATATATTGTGGCCTTGGCATTCGATCATTGTCTTGTATCAGTTTAGGTATCAGAAAAAACCCAAACGCCTCTGCCATCCAAAACAAGCAGTCTGGGATTCACAGATATCAGCTAACCCTGAACTTATGTAGAGATACTACCAATATATATATATATATATATATAATACAATAAGTACTACAATGACACATTTCACAGGGCCCCGCCCCCTAAACACATAACATAAATAACAATCTTATCTCAAAATTAATATTGGACCTAAAGCAGGGATCACAAATAGACAAGTCCAGATTACTGCTCTCCTGTTTAATGGAACAACAGAAAGAGAAGGTGGAGGAGAGAGCGAGAGAAAGAGGCCGACACGATGATAGAGAACATTTGGCTCTTCTTGGGTAGAAATAAACGAATAACCCCGACAGTAGTCTTCAAAGGGCAAAAGTTTATAGAAACACAGTGCCCCCCTCCGCCCCCCCCCCCCCCCCAGATTTTGCCCCACGGGACCCAGGAGGGGGTGTACGAGTGTGTCCTTGTGAGTGTGTGTATGTGCACAGCTTTTGTGTAAACTGTGTGCGAGTACACAGTAGTTTCACGTGTATTTATATCCAGTATTCTGGCGAGAGACAGATGATGCGAGCTCTTTGTAGAGGATCCAGCAGAAGACATATTCGTCTCTACTGTTGTAAGTTGTGGATTTATTGAATCTCTTAGCAGCCACACAGAAACTCAAGTTCAACCATCAACCAGTGCAGTCTGGAGGAGCCAAATGATTCCGCAACTCGCCACCATACACTGTTAAAAACAGTGACTCCTGGCCAGTCCCATGCTATGAATGTATGACACCATGTGCACATGAGGCTCTGGAGGAATGGAACACAAACGGGCAAGCGTTGTGTGATGGTATGTGCAATAACCCAAAAGTATTTTCAGGCATGGTAATATCTTTGGGCTGAGGTGTAAAATGGCGGGCGGATTCCCTCTCAGCAGCGATCTTCTGTCTCTACCTCGTGGATACAGGAGGGTACTGCAGTGCACTTACAACAGTAAGAGACAACTGATCTGGAGGCCCCTTTTAAAAAACTTTCATTAATTGTAAAAAAATAAATACACAAGAATATTTGAGGATGTCGAGGAAGCAGCACTAAACCCCTTCTGTCAATATATATACAGACTGTAGCAGTTATAAAACCCTCGATAATGGATCGATGTGTAATTATGTGGGAGGTGATTCGCTTTTGGTGGCTTTAAAGTTCGAATTTTAAGAAAACGAGAGATTCCCAGGGTCCAGGTGAAATCATAATAAAACCTTGTTATATCCCATTAATGGTCCAAAAACCAACAGAATAAAATCATTTTAATGGAAAATAAATAGAACCGGGTAGGAAATCCTAATATTTGAGAAGATGAACCGGGTGATTGTTTGGCGACAACAAATTACACAAATGTTATAAGACGGTAACTGACATATCTGTTACTATGATTTCTGTATAACTATGGTTAATAAGAACATCCCCGTATAGCTGCTACTTTTAAGGTACAGACTATGTTAAAGGAGTTAAGAAGACGAGATTTTTGTATGGGTTTTATGACTCACCATCCAGAAGAGGGTTCCTGTGGCAAATTCTGCATACTGCTCTATAGTAGACAGGACACTGAAGATCAGACACACCAGGACCATGACGAATCTGCAAGGAAGAGAAAACATCTCTTTAGTAAGTTATGATCAAACCATAATTTTACATAATTTACACATTTGTGTATCCAATAACAAACAATCGCTCGGGTTCAGATCAGGGGGGGCAGTCCTCCCAATCACGCCTCTCCAGTTATCTCAATTGTTGCCCATGTGCGCTCCCAGTAGGACCATGGAGTCCCCTACTGGAGCACCATGCCGGACTCCATTCAGGGTCTCCAAAAAGGCCGAATACTCTGAGCTGCTTTTTGGTGCATATGCACAGACAACAGTCAGAGTTTTACTTACATTAAGTTTAACATATATTATTCTTAAAGCACAGTACTGTTCATTTACTTGTTAATTCTAAAAATTTAGAGAGGCTCATGAAGGGCTTTGCTTGGTGTCTGCTGACCCTGCAGGATTAAGGGCAGTCTGTTGTGTGCACCATCTCATTCATAATCCTTAGAACACATCCTTTAAGTGCTTTTACAGGACATGCTACACAATGCAAGTGTTTGCACGCACTATTATCAAGCTCACTTTAAAAACACACAGCTTCATTATGATGCCGTTTATGATAAAGATTACATGCCAAACGCTGGAAGGGTTATGTAAGTGTATGTTTATTAAATACGCCATTTTTAATGTGACCTACAAAATACTGCAGACATTTATTTACGACTTGCAAATGTTGGCTTCACAATGACCATCCAGCAGATGAGGAGTTTGAGTGCAGCCGAAAGAGAAGCATTTAAACAAATCAGGAATCAGGAAACATTTATTGCCAAAATATGTCATACATACAAGGAATTTGTCTTGGCCGTTTATCTGTATATTAGATACCTGTATGATCTATGCAACCCAGTCTCACAGCAAAACGTGTCATAGCTACGTTGTGGAACGTGGTGTTCTCACGCTTTCTCCCCAAAATCGTGACAATAGGCTACTACGTTTTATTCTGGCCCATTCATTTACATCGCCTTGCAACTACGTCACTAGAAACTAATAAACGGAAGGTCTTCTACATTCTCTGATAGAACATAGAAATGCCAACGAAATGCATACAAATGCCGATGCTTTCTTAAAATATTGTTTTTCACAGACAATAGACTGACAATCCGCCATTTTCTTTTTTTTGAGCTGAGGAAAAGTTGATAGTCACGTGACCTAGTTGCAAATCAAACGTTGTATTGTCATGTTTTCTCCCCAAAATGCGTGAGAATACCACGTTGGTCCACAAAGCTATTACACGTTTTGCTGTGAGACTGGGTTGGATCGACGTGTATTTAAACAAAGAGGAATTGAAAGAGAAGTTTGCTTCGCTTCAAAGATCCTGCTGATTTCTGCTCTCTGGCAGTAGAATGAGCGTAAGGCAAAGTGGGTTGATTGGGGGGGGGTTGAGAGCCCTGAAGGAGGATTCCCCCTACACATAGTCTGGTACATTGGCCAGATGGGAGAGTTGGGATTACTGCTTACGACTAAACACACACACACACACACACACACACACACACACACACACACACACACACACACACACACACACACACACACGCCTCTTCCACCATCAGTTGGATTCACAAACAGGCAAAATGCATTAGGAAATAATATTCTGAGAGAACTCCTGGGAAAGAGCCAGTCACCATGAGCTGAGATGACATTATCTCCTCTGTCATGTACTTTAGTTCTGACTGAGCTGACCAAGGAGGGACCCGACCCAGGGAGGCCACTAGGATGCCATTTTGGTCACGGGAATCAATTCCATGCCGGGATCCTGGAGAGGCGCTTGCACGGCGAAGCCAATGAGACGTCACGCCTGGACATCCAGCACAATGTCTGACAAGACAACTAAAAGGACCAATCCATCCACGCCAGGCAGTAGTATTATTAGCCAAAGCAAGTAAAATCCCTCTTCCTATGAGGTCACCTTATTGGGGTGAGCATTTCCCCAATGTCATATCCTGACGCGCTCTGCATTGACACCCTTAGCCAACTTTATTTAGCCAGGCCAAAACCCCTGGGATCTGATTAAAACAAAAACAGCTGGGGCTTTAGCGAGTATTATTGACTGCAGATCCGTCCAGCTTGACTAAAATAAGTAAGGCGTAGAGCCGTACCAAACCCTCTGCTCAATCAGCTGGGAAACTGAGGCAATATAAGCTTAAGGAACATGTCAAGTCAAGTCAAGTCATTTTATTTTGTATAGCCCAGAATCGCAAATTACAAATTTGCCTCAGAGGGCTTTACAGTCTGTACACATACGACATCCTCTGCCCCGAAACCCACCATCGGCACAGGAAAAACTCCCCAAAAAATGAAAAAAAACCCTTACAAGAGGGAAAAAAAGGGAAGAAACCTTAGGGAGAACGTCAGAGGAGGGATCCCACTCCCGGGATGGACAGACTACAATGGATGCCATGTGTACAGAATGAACAATGTATACCAGGGACAATGTGATCTCACAAGTGTGGTTGACGAGAATGTGAAAGGTGCGTTGCGCGTTAATATACGGAGAATGCAAACAAACACCAATAAACAGCGGCACAGCGATGCTTATTGGAAATATTTAGCTTTCGTGTTGAAGAGTTAACAATGCAGATGGTGCTGGGTGGGCGTTCCCTCCGTGCACAAATCCAATCCGAGTGTATTAGGATGTGTCTCAACCTTAATCTCATTCAATGAGTGACCAACATGTTGGGCCATCATAAGTTCAACCGTCTGATAGGTAACGCCACCGGAAAAACTGGCAGCTTTAGCAGTACTACAACTACTTCCCTTTGCATAATTGACTTATTTCTCACATAGAAAAGGCTAAAGCCCCTTAACGTTTCCCAGCTTGCCCCCTATTTTCTTTTATCACATTAAAAAGATTGAGCCACATCCCTGAGTTTTGCATAACCGTAATCCAAAAGTGGGTCGTCATTTTAACCACGACAGAAACAAATGTCTCCTACTACATTTTCCCTTTATGTCTCAATTGAATAACAAAATAATTCTGTTTTAATGCTGGTAAGATGGTAGTGCTGTGCCACTGCTATGCTGCTCAGTTGGCCAATCATACCCCTGCTACGCTGCTCCAATAAAAACATCTGGTCAATTTCTGGCCAAGCAACCAGTTGTAGGCACTGAGTCAAATACAAGTATAAACTTTGCACAATGATCGTCGTACTTGTGCTCCCATAATAGTAAATCTCCCCAACGGCAGGTAGCGTACTTAATTCCCAGTAAAATTTGTTTTGGTGGTAAAAACCTCTGTATCCCGAGACTGCTTCTTAGAGAAAAGAAAGTGCTTGTGACTGAAACAAGCGATCAGCGTGCACGTTGTCCGTTCCATCACTGCTGGTGAGCACGGTCAGGGTCAGAGCTGCCCTCCTCAACCCTCTTTACAGCCCCCCCCGCCCCCCATCCCATCCATGGAAGAGCTTAGGATGGATTACACCACATCCGCCACCAGTCACAAACATGGATATTCCAACGTGGCTCAGCTATCAACTTGTCAACCAAATACTTGGGTCACACATCATTGGTAGTATTAATTCATTAGTTTGGTTATGTACTAACAGCAAACGCCACTGAGGGTGATGTGGGGGTTGCATCGTATACTGAAATCAATCTGCTGGATTTTGAAGTTTAAAAAGGACGTTTTTCATGATTTATATTTTATGGGATGAAAATATAAATGAATTAATTGATTATGTGACGGTGAAGAGCGGACACGAACACCTTCATTGACTAAACATGGGAATAACTCCGTATCTGTCCAGATTTAAAAACCCACAGCATCACCAAGTATTGTCGCATCACGTTTCCCGTTGATTGGACAGACGGAGTGTAGACGAGAGCACGGTTCACCAGTGTGCGTGGTCCTAACTCAGAGCGGCCCTATTGGGCCTATCATCAGCGCTGCATATGGCCTTTAATGTGGCGCTCTGCATCGACAAGTAAAAGTAAAGGTCCCCTGAAGCGAGGGGAGGGTGAGGGGGGGGGGGGGGGGCCTGGATCAGTCAGAAGGGTTTCATAATAAATGAAGCACACGCTCAGGTTCTTTCTGAGGACATTAGAGCCCCAATTACTGCTGGTCGCATCATTAATGCTAAACTAACTAAACACTTAAAAACAGGATGGTGGTGGGACACAAACATATCAACACTACTCATTACCACTGCAATGTCAATTACTTATATTTAAATAGTATGTTAAATTGTTCTTCGAATTTTTATACAAGATGATTTTACTTTGAATGACAGTGTTGATGGAAGTCATCTAAGGGAGTGAGAGTCATTTTCTTTGACCCCCCCAAAATCCTGCCCAACAAAAAACATTTTTTGGATTTAATTGAAATCAACTGTATGATTGATCTGAATGTGAAAGAGTTCTGTCGACAGAACTCCTATTATTATCATTCATATTTTCATCTAATCTGTCCTAAATCCATTGGCTCAGGGCTTACTATGACATCTGGGACAGAATTGTGGGATACTTCATAGAGATGACATAAGATTCTTCAGTCACATGTTAGGAGGGTGTTTTTGGCCATGGAAGACTTTTCCAAAAAGGCAAGCAAAATGATCACATGATCGTTATATCATTTAACACTGAATTGGGAAGGTTATGTGGGTAAAATGATTGTTATAAGTTGCTAGACAGTTGATTGAAAGACATAGATGGAGCCAGATTCCAAACTTTTGCTTTTCAATATACTACTTATATATTCTGCACGTGCTGGATGGAAAATATGGAAGCCGGATACTATTTCTATGTATTTTTGTATTTCTACTAGTTATTTAAGTCATCTATAAAACATCTTGGATTTATTTTCCAGAACATTTGAATGGGGTAGAATGGAATATAAGGGGTCATATTTAAATGATATAAGTACAATATAGTTTGCATAATATGTGGGTGACATCAAAACATGTTACAAATTCTGCAGCATGTTCTCTTACAGTCATCACGAGATGCTAAAACCCTCCACCTCCGAGAACAGATAGAGAAGGTAGAAAAGAGGTGTCATCGGTGCCAAACGTGTGGTCGACCAGATCGCACCGACCTGCTTCTTAAAAGATCTTAATTAAAAAAACACCGCCGACAGCCAGCAGGCCTCTCCTTCTGTTACGATGAACCAGAACTGACACGGAAGGAGCCACGCTGGATGTGATTAAGAAGAGAAACGCTGGAGGAGAGAGACAACCTGCAGACGTGCGTTTGAAGTTCACCGAACAGCTCTTACGCCTGAAGAATAAAGCCGTCTTATTGTCAGGCTTCTCGTGAAGGCATTTGTCTCGCTGGGTTGCATTGTGTGCGCGATCGGCACACGCAGAAGCAGACAGGTACTCACACGAGGAAGTGGTAGAGGAAGCACTTCACTCCCGCAGGCCTCTCTAGGAAGTTGTAAACATCCCCCTGCATGCTGGTCTTGACGTAAGGGCTCTGGAAATCCTTTTGATGATGACGCAGCCAGCTGGAGCGGGGGAGCGGCACGGGGACCACGGTCACGGAGGGCGGCCCGTGTACGGGCTGAAGCTCCGGGGCCGCAGGCGGGCAGCAGGGGAGGCCCGATCCATTCTTCACAGCTGCGGGGTCCAGCTCCCGGTAAACAAGAGGGTAGCAGCTCCTGTCGGCCGCGGGAGCCCGAAGGGTGGAGCTGCCGGTCGAGGTGCCCGTGGAGGCCGAGGGGTCGGCGTCCGTCTCCCGGGCTGGGCCGCCGGTGAGGCTGGTGGCGGCATACCCGTTGGGCCTGCAGCTTATGAAGGAGCTCCCCATCCTGCTGCCGTAGTCGCGTTGCACGTGGCACGTCATGTGGAAGGACTGCGCGCGTCTTTCCCCCCATGGTCCCGTTTGTGAGACGAAGGTCACCAGGAGTTCAGGTGGAAGGGATGAGACACCTAGCTAGGCATGGCCAGCTACCCCGCTGCAGACAGGAGGTCCCTCTGCTGCACCGCATGCGTGTCCATACCTGCAGTGGAACAGGTGACACGAGTCATGGAGACAGTGTGGACATTAGACAGTTTGTTTAATGCATAGTGCTCTGAACCGCCATGTTTCACAATCGACAGGGTCAGACTGCAATTCTTTAAGGAGATTATTAACACAGCACAGGGAATTTCCGCATTGTTCTCAATCGTACGTTCTTAAACACTTTGAAGCTAGAATTCATAAATCCGCTGCTGTAACATATGGCCTTCCGGAGTAGTAGAAAAAGACTCTTCAATATTATCCACAGATTAGCATCTGATAAATACTAAAAGCAGTTTCCAGTAGCATGATACTTCTGAACTGTGGCCATACGTGGATCAGAAACAACCTGTTGTGACTTTACTGCAACGATGCCGATTAGAGCTTTTCATTGTGTAACAGGGGGCTGCCATCTGTGAGTAAGAATTGTTACACAAGTGGGCTATTAAACTCAGACTTACGGATGGGAAAGTAACACAAGCACAACATTCTCCCAAAACACAATCACACACACAAGTTAATGTGGCAGAGACGTGTCGGCGCACAAGTCCATTTCCATCCTCTCGCCGAGGATTTCCCATTCGGAGGATAAACAAATGTACAACAAGCACGCTAACGTTTAGAGAGGAGATAAGAATCCAGCTTGAGAAGACCGGAACCAAAACAGTTACACGTCACACGTCACACCACGGAGACCTAAACAACGTGCAGGCAGAAGAAAATCAGCCTTTGGACATTTTAACAAAGTAAATTAAATGTTGCGTCGTCACCATTGGCCAAAACTCAACTTAAATCGATATCAGCTATATAACAGGAGATACAGAGAAGCATTTGTGCAAAGGGAGCTACATATCAGGAACACACCCACATGATTGTGTGTAATATCTATTCCTGATGGCCTTTGCGGCGTATTTAAAATGAATGAGTGTTTGTATGGGTTAGTAGGTGGGACACAGAGCCAGAAGGTGTGATGGAGGGTCGGCTGTTGCCTAAACGGTTCAGGAGAAAAAGCATGATGAGACAAGTGAGGAGGGCCGATTGGAGGCGGTCGGCCCTCTGGTATCGATGAGCTGATCAGCTGGTGCGTCTCCTTGGAGATACAGTTTCTGACACTATAGATGCACTATGTGGACACAATGAGGGGGACTCTACAGTTACAGAGTATTTTTTAACTTTTCGTTTAAACTGAAGCCACACTGTCAGGGGGACGTTTGAAAGTAATGACAGCACATGAAATAAATGAATAACATTTGGTTCGCGGTGCCTCAAAACTGTACTTCCTCCCTTCGCACCTGCTTAGCTGTGACATAAGGAGCAGGCTGCTCTGTTAAATGATGCTGCAAAATCAAGAACATGTTATGTCAATATTTGATGTTCTTAGCCAAACCCTCAAACTAGCTTGTCCCGTCTTACCTTTGACTCCAGAAACACACCTCAAGTTGTAACGTTAATCGGCGTTAAATAATGATTAAAAAAAATGTCTCAGTAGCGAGGAAACAAGTTCGCCTTTATTGTTTTTTTTAGAAGAAGAAGATGGCGTAAGATCCCCAAAAATTAAACCAGTTATAATGCGTCTTCGGGCGCTTTAAAATAAAAAGCTAACATGAAAATAGACTGAAAGGACAAGTCTTCCATCCGCCGCTGCCCGCAGGACGCGTCGTCACTTTGAAGTGCATCGCAGCCTGTGGCTGCACGAACGCTGCGTTCAGGAGTAATGGGAAATGTTGCAAACACAAAATGAGCGACAAACACAGTGGTTTCATGTGCGTCGCGTCAGTTACTACCAACGTGAAAACTTGAACAACATATGCGAAGAACTAGTAAACAAAAAAAGTGTTAGCTGTAAAACGTTTAACTGTGAGATTATTATTTGTGATACCTTGGTCACAGAAGCCAATGTATGAATCGAGAATGTCTTACACAACACTAAACAGAATTACTTTTGAAACCATCTAAATACAACCATTGTTTTCTAAATGAAAATGGAACTGGTTCCATACCTCAGAAGCCATTTAAGAAGAGGAACCCCAAACTACAAATGGAAAGGCGATTTAACAGGAACACTTGAACGCTTCACATATGCTAATAAGCTGCCACGCGCACTTAGAGATAATGCACTACCGTCAATGATAATAGAGAAAAACTCTTGCATTTAACTCCAAACCAAACTATTTCCCATGTTTCCATGTTGTTAAAGTATTAATACCCCCATGAAGTCCCTTCATACATCACAGGTTATGAGTCTACGGCTGCGTTGACCTGTAGGAGGCGCTGAACACCCAGGCTGCGCCCTGTTAAACGTTTCGCGATACCTCACAGTTTGTCCCTCGTCAGTTTCCGTAGTCACTGAAAAACATGGCGTCGCACACAAGCAGGGGGCTCCTGTCTCTAGGTCGAATAAGTGCTTCTGCACTCGGACTACAGAGGCCATTGAGTAGAGTCACCTACGCGACGAATGTGTCTACAAATTATTCTGCGGGAAAAACCGGTGAGATTGTGTGCGGCTGCTGAGGTAGTTTGAACTCTTTCCTGCAGCTAGCGAGGCCGCGTCCCCCGACGCTGATGCGCTTCTCCCGCCTCTGTCTGAACCGGGCCGAGGGACGTTTTGAGGGGTCCACGCGGGGAGCCCCCGTGTCTTTGTTACTGGTTCGTTGTCACCTGCTGGATGACATCCCATCATCATCTATCCACGGCAGAATGCGAATAGGGGAGCACAATAAGTGCAATGACACATCGGGGATAAAGAAGGATTTCTAACAGTTAAAGCTGCCGGGTTCCGTTTTTAAAATCAATGCATCGTTTGGTGTAAAAGAAAATGTCCGAATATGTTTGTATAACTACTCATAATTTCCTGAAGCCCATGAGGTTGTCATGAAATCAAATCTTATAACAAGTAAAGACGGTTTACTTATCCAAAGACTTGCATTGCTTTCTTTACATCAACAAATTTATTTATTTTGCTCTTATTACATTTATTGTCTTATAAGTAATCACAACAGGCAAACTGGAGGACTGTCTGCTGACACCTTTTGGTATCCTCAGGTTACATGTTCAGAACAATCCTTTGTGTGTTGGTGGCTAAACTTGCAACATTCTGATTTTCAGGCCTTCCTGATCGAGGCGCTGGTAAATTCGCCAGAAGACCCAGGAGAGCTGTAAGCTTTTATGTTTACACGGTTGAGTTAAACAACATGCACATATTTCAAAGGCGACAAAATGATCAGGAAGAAATGTGACGACGTTGCAACCAACAGTCTTGGACGGGCTTCGTTTTGTCTCCCTTTTGGTTCTTCCAGCCGGGCGAGCCCAGGACCGAAAAGATGCCTGTGGACCAGGACTGGACTGCAGTGTATCCAGCAGCAGCCCCCTTCAGGCCCGGCTCCGTCCCCCTGCCTGTGAGGATGGGCTACCCTGTGAAGAGAGGCGTTCCTCCAGAGAAGAAGGGCAACCTGGAGCTGATCAAGGCGAGTCGACGTGGCCGACGTGGGACCACTGCATACACTGTTAACACGGTTGGGTGTAGTTTTAGGAGCCGGGCACTGAATCGAGTCAAAGGACTGTTTCCACGCTGTCCTTTGCAGGATCATTTTAGCCGAACCCAGTTGTCCTTCCTTTATAGCCGCATGCATCACAGCCACAGCTGCTGCATCTGGACTTGAGCCACCTGCAGATCCGCTACACAGCTGGAACTCTGCTCTGCGTGCTAATGATATTGATTTCGTTATTCAACTCAGCCACGAGCAACTTAACTGTGGTGCATCCCTTTCTGATGTATGATTCTTATATTATTTACTTTTTTTTAAATCAGAACCAAAGATTTATTCCAGTGCCTTTCTAGAATATACTAATATTTTTTTGTATTAAATGACTAAACACCCCAAACATGTTTTCTGGAATGTAGCATAAAATGCATCTAGTCATGAAGTGTTGAGTGCGTTTTGCTTTCCTCTTCCTGGATTGTACATATTTCGACTGCAGGACATTTCCATATGTTTGCTGCACAAACCGTTCACATAATCTCTCGCTCGTCTTTCAGATACCAAATTTTCTGCATTTGACACCAGCGGCCATCAAGAAGCACTGTGAAGCTCTGAAACGTACATTCATCTTTTTCCTTTTAAAACCGTTATGAACTGAACTTCTTTTTGCCATCAGGCAAATTTTCTGTTTGTGAACGTGTCTCCCTCCTGTCAGCGTTCTGCACAGAGTGGCCGTCCGCCTTGGACACGGACGCCAGGTGTGACGCGCACTTCCCCATCAAAGCGGAGAGCACGGACTACGTGTCCGCCGGCCCGTCCGTCCGGAACCCCGCGGCTCGCACCGTGCACCTCAAAGTGAGCGACCCGGCTAATCCCCTCTTTACTCTTTGCTGTTTGTATGAAAAGTGGTTTTGAAGTTTTGAACCTGATGACCTGCTTCCACCGGGTTTCGTCAATGTATAGAAAGTCGTGTGCAGAGAAACGGGATCTGAAACGAGATGAGAGATTTACAGATGTGTAATCACCGCCTGACGTCATGTGACCTCAAACGTAACGAATTTATGCCATCAGGTCTCCAGACACCACAGCCCTCTTGATTCGTTTGATACTTAAGCATGTGCTGTTATAGAAAGTAGTAACAACACATTGCATCATTGACATATTTGCCCCCCCCCCCCCCCCCTTTTCACAAGCAAAAGAACGGCCTTCTTTCCTTCTGGGATCGTATCAAATGAAATCCTTGCTTTATACAGGATAATGTCTCAGGGGAAAATGGCATTTTTTTTAACCATTAAATCAACAGCTGCCTGCTTCAGTGGACACTTTGCCTGGGGATATGGTCGCCCGGGGATTTATTCCGAACATTAATCTCGCTGGATTATGCCAGAAAAATAGATTTGGAGGGCAATCTTCTGTTTCAAGTCCATCAAAAATGCAATTCGTAGGGTGGTCGTCACTCATTCTCGCGGTAAATTACACGGGCGGGATAAGGAGGGAGGTAAACAAAGGGGCTGCAGGGTTGTCCGGGACCCAGACATGGGATGCCCGAATCCGGCGAACTGTACGAACCCAAGGTTTACCTCTCTATTGCCTGTTAGCTCATATACAGTATACAGTTGTATTTTCCACAAAAAGGCCGATAGAGGGGGATCTTTATAGGTTATACTTTGGGTTGTGGTTTTTTTGTATCTGAGGACAGAGATGCTGAGAAATCTCATCTTTGAGTCCGATTGCTTCTCTTGACATTGCAAAGCTTCATGTGGAAAAAAAAAAGAGAACGTAAACCCCGTCTCCCGGTAATCTAATCACGTCTTTGCTGTCGCAGGTGAAGTTGTCCAGTTTGAATCTGGATGACCATGCGTTCAAGAAAATGCTCAAACTTGTGGGGGAGAGATACTGCAGAGATACCGACACGCTCACCATCACGGCCGACAGGTAAACACGGCTTCCCGAGGCCTCAGCATGCCGCCAAATAAAAGCCAACGCACCCACTCGCTTCATCTTTGTCTCCGCCTTCCCGTCCTCTACCAGGTGCCCATTGAGACAGCAGAATCACGACCACGCCATGTACCTGCTCACGGTCCTTTACCACGAGTCTTGGGTGAGTTCAAAGTATTTGTTCTCTCTCTGAAGCTGTTTCTGTCCTGACTGAGGATGATACGTCCTCCCATCATTGGCTCCAGAAAATACCATTCAAGAGTTTCACATGCAAGATATCTCAACTAGAAAATTCAAATTGTATTGGATAATCTGTGTGTATAGTTACTACTGCTAACAAAGTTCATAAAATAAAGTTGTATGTTCTAGGAATTAAGTGGCGGGGTGACTAGATCTTATTATTGTCTTTCTTTTATTAATATTAATGACACAACCGCTGTTATTTTACGCTTACAGCCTTTCCCTTAGTCTGGTAATGAAGATGTTTTTGTGGGGGGGGGGCGGTTCTGGCGACATGGCTCTGTAGCCTCTACCAGGGGAATCCATGTTCATCTTGCTCTGCGATCTGAGCGACTAAGCCCATTAGGGAGGTATCAGACGGCAAACAGCCGCTTTGTCCAGTTGACATTTCTCCACAGATTGGGGGATAACGGGTGTCCCCTATCAGGTGTTGACCCCGATACTGTTTATTCACATTAAGCCAGCCCGGCCGCATCGGAGGAGTCCGCCACCGGGTCATCAGCCCAGGTTCCCTTCGCATGAATTCGCAGCCAGCCACGAAATAAAAACAGCAAATGAGTCGCCTTGTGCAACCTTTGCCATTAGGAGCTTTAAAAAAAAAAGAAAGAAATCTCTCGGTTGGAGAAGGTGTCCGAGCCAGCGTGCAGAACACTGTCCGCTGGCCTTTTGGACTCACAATGGAAGGCACAGTGCTGGTCCTGCAGGTTTGTGGAAGCTGTGAGTGGCGTGGCGATGGGGTTGTAACCGTAGCCCACAAAGAGACCTGTTGTCAGCAGCCACAGAGGAGATTCCATCTCCCCAGCCAATTCCAGTTGGTGGCAGCCCAGAACACCTCCGGGGCTGAATGCTCAAAGCTGCCTCTGACACAGGGGAAGTTTAGCACTACAGCCCCCCCCCCCCCCCCAT